ACACACACACACACACACACACACACACACACACACACACACACACACACACACACACACACACACACACACACACACACACACACACACAGAAACAGGTTTAGTGAGTGCAGACTGACTGAATATGTGACTGGTTCCTAATTTTTGGCCGAGTTGATAACTGATAAACAGCATTTGAGTCGACTCATTCATGATAGCTGCTGTGATAACCCTCTCCTCTTTTCTCAGCCTGTTATAAAGTCATTTGTTTCAGTGTTTTTTTTTTTTTTTATGTAAAAGGTGATATGAGGGTGACTTTTAACAGCAATACATCATTGTCAAATTCATTGTGACACACTTTAATTACCATAAAGAAACTAATTGCCATCCAGATGCCAGCCAGAGTGCTAGGATTTATCTCAAGCCAGTGATGTTGGTACTGCTTAAAGGAATAGTTTGATATACCCTCATGTCTGTACAGTAGATAGTTTAGTTAGTCTAATCTTATCATAGCCACTAGCCAATTCTAGTTAGACACTTCTTTCTCCTGGTGCCAAAATCAGAAGTTCTGTCTTTCACTTCGATGAAGAAGGCAAGGCTTTTTGTTTCAATGTTATTCTAACAATTGTAAAACCTGTCTACATACGAGGCTGACATGTTTTACTCTAACCAGGTCACTCATTCATCTGACAGATTCACTTCCATGTATTTTTACACTTTTAATGCAGCTGTCCATATATAAAAACTCATAATGACACAACAGCTCATGCTCCTCATATGCTCTACATTGTTAAAGTAGCCCCTTTTTTATGTCTCTTTTTTTTTTGCTCATGCTTTTGCGCTGTAGTCCGTGTGGATAAAATGTAGAAATTTACCTTCATTTGTGCAGCAGGAAAAGTTTCCTCTCTGCTGATTTGTTCCATAAAGCTCACAAAATGCAATTCACACAAGAAAAATGTGTGTAGTCTTTACCTGGTGGTGTCTCAAAATGGATGTGATAACACCTCATGCTAAAACGCTAGAGATGTAGCACTTGTAAATACATGAAATACATACTTTTTGACCGAATAACAGCAGTACTGGCCACAATATGTGAACAAAGCCTCTGCATATATTTTCATATTTACACATGTGACGTGTTTATCAAGTGACTAAATTATACTGCATTGATAAACTTTGTCAGATCCATCTACAGCATTGCATTCATGCATTGAGCAAGAGATCCATGTTAAAAAGAAATAAGAACAAAGTGCTGATAGGTGCATCAGGTGGAATGTTATCACAGAAATGTACGTACTGCCTTGTCTATAAATATGCATTGCAGCTGTATGAGTGCAGACACTTGATCACATATTCATCATTTTGGGCCTTTTTCATAAGGTTCTAAAATAATTGGATCAGATGAGATGCATTGTAATTACACTGAGCTTCAACCTGCATGTTTATCTGCAAAAATAAATAAATAAACAAATAAAAACAGAATCTATTGCTGTCGACAGGATAAACACTGTCATTCAGGAAACTCATACATGTGACCATAATACAGTCTATCAGAGAGAGTCTGTTTTTGCAATGTGCTTATGCTGCATCCCAACACTGTGAAGACATCAGATTTGGCTGGGGGGTGGATATAGGGTGATGAGGTAACAATCTCCCTGTCTGTCTGCTTGTGTATGTGTGTGTGTGTGTGTGTGTGTGTGTATGTGTGTCTCTCTCTCTCTCTTTGTGTCTTTCACCACAGAAGCCAGTGTGGTGTGATGAGCTTGGGCCTCCAGCAGCAAACCCCACTGAGACTCACTTCATTACTCCGACTCCATCTCCATCCGCCCTCCTATCAAATCACCCGGAGAGCCTCTCGACGTGACGTGCTGCTAACACGTTGAGAGCCTCGCCTCAGAAAATGGGACATATGCTCGCTCTGCCATGGCTGCAGCGAGTGACACAGAAGTCGACACATGCAAACACACGCACACTCAAATAGCGATACACAATGCCTAATGTTAATTCACAAGAAATAAGAACACACACACACACACACACACACACACACATCAAACCACACACACACACACAAGACACACCACACAGACATCACACACACCACACCCACACACACACATCACACACATGCAGCACACACACACAAATACAAAGCTTCCCCTCTCCACACCTGTCCTCCTCACTTGAAGCCCTCTCTAATCCATTCCTGTTCACACTGAAAGAAGGTACTTGTACCCACACTCACGCCATAAATGACAAAAAAGATACAACAGACAGGGGAGAGAGAACAACTCTATTGTGCCTATACAAAGCAACCTTTAGAACCACATTTTCCATTTTTCTATTTCTTATGGGCAATGGGTCCGTAACAAAAAAAATGTAAACGTCAGATTTCTGTAGGAAAGGCAAAGACCACTGAAGATTAAAGAAACTGAACAAGCACCGTGTTTCTTTATAGAAGCGGAGTTCTTTCAGACAATGATGGCTTAAAAACAGTAATTTAAAGTTTAGAGAGGTGTCCTGAGTGTTCAGACAATGGTGTTCCAGCACCGGGATGCAGCACATTTCATGGCTTCCAAGGGCTTTCCATTATACCTCGGCGAAGCGCCACTCGCTGCTGAAATTACAGGCTGTCTAGCTCAACAGAGTTTTATGGTCATTTCAGCCACTCAGCCCCCAGGGAAGTGGCAGGGGAGCCCCCACAGAGGTAGACTTCTTTCAACCAACCTGACACTTTAAACACAGTGATTCGGCTGAGCGCTGAGTGCCTGTCCATCCAGCTTGGCAGTAATAGAAAACTAATGGCTTTTTATATGGATTCTTATTCCTATCACTTGATGCCCATGACAAACAATGTGACTCAAATCAGATGAGTGTCAGCCTTGGAAACCATTTCCTCATGAAGAAAGAGAGGCAGGAGGAAAAACGTTTATCAGACTCCAAAATCCACTAATAGCTGCCTTTCTACATTAAAACAACAGTCTATTGAGAGTCATATCTGGTTTAGAGACTATCCCTCTGTGCTCCGTCTGCAAATATGATCTCTTCTACGGATGATAATTTCTGTTAAATGCGAAAATTACAGCTCTTCAGTCTTATCACTTCCCTCAGTCATCAGCCTAGAGAGGCTTTAGAAACCATATCTTTCACTCATCTACAGAGAGCATAACAAAAGGCATGACACAATAGCTGCCAACATAATAGCAGTTACATGAAGCAAATAAGAAAAACAAAAGATGTTTCTCTCTGCTCCGCTCTGCCCCTCTGCCTTTCTTTTCTTGTATGTTGTGTTCATCTGTCCTTATCTCTCCTCTCCTCTCCTCTCCTCTCCTCTCCTCTCCTCTCCTCTCTTAACCTCTCCTCTGTCATTAATGTCCTGTTGTCACTGTCGAACAAACTGATTGTCATTGCAGCCTCAAATGTTCATGTGCAAGCTCATGGTGTGGGAATTTGACCCCCGTTCAATCAATAGGACTCAACAGCCTTGTGTGTCCTTGTGTCACTAAATGTTAAAAGCCAAAGTAAACAAAGGGGCTCGGCAATATTGATACATTACTATTACTCTCTTTTGACGCTCTGAATTTTCTGCATTGTGCAGCACGGCTGGTTACGTCATAACCATTTTTATGTAAACCAAACAATACAGCACTGACCTTGTGAGTGAAGTGCGAAGAATATATTTTGATTAAAAGGACATAAAATCTGTCAGAAATATTTTTTTCTTTCCACTAAAAGACACTCTCAAGAATCTTATACTTTGAGCGGCTGCAGCTGCATTCTACTCTGCTTTCCCACCTAAATTTCTGCTGGTGACCCTGAGACCCTCTGTGTTGCTCTGGTCAGAGGTGATGGTCCATTTTACCCACAGCTATTTTCTCTTCAATGTGCCTGGACAGAGGCTTTGCCTTTTTTTTTGGCAGCACTGTACTCATTGGGATTCTGAGTCAATACTCTAAAAGGGCAATGTGGACAGATGGCATTCAGTCAAAACACAAGGCAGTTTAGCTTAGCTGTCACATGACACAACCTTTCGCCCCCTTACTCAGCAGAGAATTGAGACCAACAAAAACTGTCTGGTGATACAACCTCCCCTGCATTATTAAGCAGAAAATCCAAAGTAAAAAAAAAAAAGAGCAACAGTCTGAACTTGTATTTTCATCTAATCA